TCATCCCTGTCCTCTCTTCCCATCCCCTCATCCCTGTCCTCCTTTCCCATCTCCTCCTCATATCGGTCCTCTCTTTCCCATTTCATCTCTATCCTCTTTCCTCTCCTCATCTCTATCTTCTCTTCTCATCTCTATCTTCTCTTTCTCCCTCTTCTCATCTGCTCACCTCTATTCCCTTCTTCTCATCTCTATCTTCTCTTTCACCTCTCTTCCTCTTCTCATCCTCTCTCATCCTCACCTCTATTCCCTCTTCTCATCTCTATCTTCTCTTTCCCTCTTCTCATCTGCTCACCTCTATTCCCTAATCTCATCTCTCTCTCTCTTTTCCTCTTCTCATCTGCTCACCTCTATTCCCTCTCTCATCTCTTCTCTTCTCTTTCTTTCTCATCTGCTCACCTCTATTCCCTCTTCTCATCTCTATCTTCTCTTTCCCTCTTCTCATCTGCTCACCTCTATTCCCTCTTCTCATCTCTATCTTCTCTTTCCCTCTTCTCATTGCTCACCTCTATTTCCCTCTTCTCATCTTCTCTTTCCTCTTCTCATTCCCTCTATTCCCTCTCTCATCTCTATCTTCTCTTTCCCTCTTCTCATCTGCTCACCTCTCTATTCCCTCTTCTCATCTCTATCTTCTCTTTCCCTCTTCTCATCTGCTCACCTCTATTCCCTCTTCTCATCTCTATCTTCTCTTTCCCTCTTCTCATCTGCTCACCTCTATTCCCTCTTCTCATCTCTATCTTCTCTTTCCCTCTTCTCATCTGCTCACCTCTATTCCCTCTTCTCATCTCTATCTTCTCTTTCCCTCTTCTCATCTGCTCACCTCTATTCCCTCTTCTCATCTCTATCTTCTCTTTCCCTCTTCTCATCTGCTCACCTCTATTCCCTCTTCTCATCTCTATCTTCTCTTTCCCTCTTCTCATCTGCTCACCTCTATTCCCTCTTCTCATCTCTATCTTCTCTTTCCCTCTTCTCATCTGCTCACCTCTATTCCCTCTTCTCATCTCTATCTTCTCTTTCCCTCTTCTCTGCTCATCTATTCCCTCTCATCTCTATCTCTCTTTCCTCTCTTCTCATTCCCTCTTTCTCATCTGCTCACCTCTATTCTCTTCTCATCTCTATCTCTCTTTCCCTCTTCTCATCTGCTCACCTCTATTCCCTCTTCTCATCTCTATCTTCTCTATTCCTCATCTTCTCATCTATTCTCTTCCATCTATTCTCTTTTCCCTCTTCTCATCTGCTCACCTCTATTCCCTCTTCTCATCTGCTCACCTCTATTCCCTCTTCTCATCTGCTCACCTATTCTATTCCATCTCTTCTCTCTATTCCCTCTTCTCATCTGCTCACCTCTATTCCCTCTTCTCTATCTGCTCACCTCTATTCCCTCTTCTCATCTGCTCACCTCTATTCCTCTTCTCATCTGCTCACCTCTATTCCCTCTTCTCATCTGCTCACCTCTATTCCCTCTTCTCATCTGCTCACCTCTATTCCTCTTCTCATCTGCTCACTCTATTCCTCTCTTCTCATCTGCTCACCTCTATTCCCTCTTCTCATCTGCTCACCTCTATTCCTCATCTGCTCACCTCTATTCCCTCACCTCTATCCTCACCTCTATCCCTCCTCATCTCCTCTATTCCCTCACCTCTATCCTCACCTCTATTCCCTCACCTCACCTCTATCCCTCACCTCTATCCTCCCTCTATTCCTCTATCCTCACCTCTATTCCCTCACCTCTATCCTCACCTCTATTCCCTCACCTCTATCCTCACCTCTCCTCACCTCTATCCTCACCTCTATTCCTCACCTCTATCCTCACCTCTATCCTCACCTCTATCCTCACCTCTATCCTCTCACCTCTATCCTCACCTCTATCCTCACCTCTATCCTCACCTCTATCCTCACCACCTCTATCCTCACCTCTATCCTCACCTCTATCCTCACCTCTATCCTCACCTCTATCCTCACCTCTATCCTCACCTCTATCCTCACCTCTATCCTCACCTCTATCCTCACCTCTATCCTCACCTCTATCCTCACCTATTCTATCTATCCTCACCTCTATCCTCACCTCTATCCTCACCTCTATCCTCACCTCTATCCTCACCTCTATCCTCACCTCTATCCTCACCTCTATCCTCACCTCTATCCTCACCTCTATCCTCACCTCTATCCTCACCTCTATCCTCACCTCTATCCTCACCTCTATCCTCACCTCTATCCTCACCTCTATCCTCACCTCTATCCTCACCTCACCTCACCTCTATCCTCACCTCTATCCTCACCTCTATCCTCACCTCTATCCTCAGTCCATCTCCTCCTCTCTATGCTCTCTTCCCTCCTTCTGTTAATATATTACACACATAAATCTGGTAACACTGCACTCCTTTGGGAGATTTTCCAGGCATGTTCTCCTCTTCGGACTCTCTGCAGGTGGAGCTGCGTGTGACAGTTCTGCAGGAGTCGGATTCTAATCCATCATTCCAAGGTGCACATGAATCTGTTGCGCACTCAACATTTGTGGCAGTGCTGAGAGACAGACGTCTGCAGAGTATCTATGGAGCTCTTTATGACCTTCCCTAGAGGCCTTTCAATACCAGCCAACCAAAGATTTCCCTGCCAAGCATCATTCTGTGTGGATATCACATATCAGCCATCAGTGTTGCGACTTACATTCCGCACAAAGCTGGTCTCCTCGACAGATTTGGTGATGAGCCCCGGCATTAGGGCCACACCGCTCTCGGCAATTGCTTGGTGGAACAAGCCCTTGGCTAGTGGGGACAAGACCTGTCAGGGAAAGACAAGAGGAGAGTAGTTACAATGTATCACACTGAGGAAATATTCAAGAGAACCTGTCAGTACAGAAGAATGAGAGCCAACATTGGTGACTCGTCTGTAACGCAGGCTCCAGGGCTGTCATCCTCATCCTTGCTCTTTTATAGGGATCTCCAAACTTTCTAAATAAAAGGCCCAGTTTGTGGTCCTTCAAGCATTGAGGAAGGACTGTGGCCAGCGAGAGTGGAAAACGCCATGGCGTTAATGGAAGTAAGCAATGCGCCATGATTGGCATAACTAGGAGAAATAGTGCCCCATTGTAGGTGTCAGTGGAAGGAATAGTGCTCCATTTTTGGTGTCAGTGGAGGGAATAGTGCCCCATTGTTGATGTCAGTGGAAGGAATAGTGCCCCATTGTTGATGTCAGTGGAAGGAATAGTGCCCCATTGTTGGTGTCAGTGGAAGGAATAGTGCCCCTTTGTTGGTGTCAGTGGAAGGAATAGTGCCCCATTGTTGATGTCAGTGGAAGGAATAGTGCCCCATTGTTGATGTCAGTGGAAGGAATAGTGCCCCATTGTTGGTGTCAGTGGAGGGAATAGTGCTCCATTTTTGGTGTCAGTGGAGGGAATAGTGCCCCATTGTTGGTGTCAGTGGAAGGAATAGTGCCCTAAGGTCTGGTTAAGACAGGAATAAGGCCACATCCATCCCCAAGGCCACAGTTTGGAGACCACTGCTCTGTTATGTTGAGGAAACTAATACTGAGAAAAAATATGGAGGCTCATAGTGCTGACCTCCTTAGGAAAATGCTAGTTTCCTGGTTGTTTGTGCTTTTAACACTTTAGATGCTACCCTGGACCAGCAAATTGATGTCAGAACTTTTTATCTACTTGTTCCAAGTCAAAGACTTAGAAAGTACTGAAGCCATTGGATCAGCATGACTGCAGCCAAGGATTGAATTTTCAGAAGAGGCTTGTTTCAGTTTGGTGACTCACCAGGTAGTGAAGGGAGGATGAGGATGATGGTTTTGAAGCCGGTACTTTTAAAAACTAGTCAGAAATGGAGGCGCCCGCAAATGTATTCCTTCTATACTTACCAATGCAGAGACACTGATCCCACCAGCAGACTCTCCAAATATGGTGACAGAGTCAGGGTCACCTCCAAATCTGCGATGTTCTTCTGCACCCAGCGCAACGCCTCCACCTGATCCAGGAATCCGTAATTTCCTGGAGCTTTGCTGTCCCCGGAGCTAAGAGATGACAAACAGAGGCCATGTGACAAATCTATAAAAAGGGTCTTCTAGGGGAAAGCCGCCCCCCTATGGTGCCCTTCACAGTCTACTCCTATGATGTTGTTCCCTCTGTGATGCTAGAAACCAAAACCCACAAGGATTTCATCACTTCCAGTTTTGGTTTGTAGCTTACAAGCTGTTACTGGCTTGCGAAAGCATCTGATCAAACTGATCTTGGTTTGATCAGATATTATTGGAGGCCAGAGGAGAGATCTGGGGTCTAATAACCTCAGATATCTCTAAAAAGATTACCTGTCACTAGGGGCGGACTGACAACTCATGGGGCCCCCGGGCAATAGGGGATCATGGGGGCTCCTGTGTCCTTGCCCAAACGTTAATAAAGCCTATGAAACAAGGTACCAGGGCATCTCATGGGGCCCCCCTCCAGGGCCCTTGGGCAGCGCTCGAGTTTCCAAATGGTCAGTCCGCCCCTGCCTGTCATGACATTTGTTATTACAGGGGATGTTGTTCATCTCTTGTGATAGCAATAAAGTTGATCCAAAAAAAAAAAAAACGGAAAAAAGGTATGGTAAAAAATAACTTTCAATAAAATAAATAATAAAACATTAAGATAATATAAAAAAAGAAGAGCAGAGTAAAATAATAAAAATGTCCTTTTAACATTTTAGTTCACTGGGCATCAAAAACAAAAATAGAGAATTTAATAAAATAAGTATACAAAGTAAAAGTTAATCTAGACAAATGAATCTGGAATTGTGACGTTACCTGGTCTATATTGACGCCTTGGTCTGGGCACCAAGGCTTCAGTGAGATCAGACCACCGAAAGGTTAATGTGATGGTGGACCTACTAGCCAATAGGCTTGGAGGGCAGGAGGAGGCGGAGGCCAACTTGACTTAAAGGAAAAAGTCGAGATCTGCCTATAACTTCAGCTGCCTGCATCTCTAGATTGACCAGTTATTTGGAGAGATGTGTACAGTGCATTACCTGAAGAATCCCAGAATCCCCAGGCGGTACTGGATGGTAACAATTAAGACATTTTCATGGGCGCTCAGCGCAGAACCTTCAAACATCACGGCTCCTCCCACAATTAATGCGCCTCCATGAATAAACACCATCACCTGGAGAGAATCAATAAAGGATCAATAACCGTTGTCCTCCATGCAGCTCCTCTGTCTTTTCTACCAGTGCAGGGCAGAATCCCACACATCTGTACACCTGTACTGAGCGCCATAGCTGGGATCTGCAAATATGGTAGCATTAATGAGGAGCCAACAATTAGCTGGACCCTGAAAATCCATGTCGCCGCCACAGTGACTTGTCTGTGACATCATATCATGACCCACTCAGCTGCCAATGGACACCATTTTTAAAAATCTATAAACTTATATTTAAAGTATAATTAAAGACATTTTATTTTTGGATAGAGTGGAAAGGGATTAGAACATCTGTCAGGTTTTTATTGCTGTCTGTGCCCCTGTTAGGGGGATTCATCCTCTCTATTTGTCCTTGTGTTGGACCCAAACAGGTGAGGGCTTTTGGAGGGGACTGCAGGCTGGCTCTTGCCTACTGGCTATGGGCCCTGGCATCTGAGGGGCGCTATTGTTTGGGAGGTGTGTGCCTGGGAGCACAGCAACCCATGGGGCCCCCGGGCAATAGGGGATCAAAGGGCACCTGTGTCCTTGCCCACACTCAAAAAAGCCTATGAAAGGTACCAGGGGCATCTCATAGGGCCTCCTACTAACCCCAGGCCCTGGGGCAGTGCCCGAATGGTCAGTCTGCCCCTGCCTAGGGGGGACCTTTGGAGTAGGTTACTTTTGGATTTAAGTCCATGTCTCCCCAACAGGTCTCTGTGCCCAAACCAGCATTGACTGCTTCAACGCCCCCCCCCCTTCTTAGATTCAGAGCAGATGTTAATATAATCAGTTCAAAACAAACCTGTTGCTGAGGACTCTTGATGTAATCTGTTTATTAAAGTGTTATGTATTTACTGGCTTTCTCCCATTGTGTGCTGCCTAGGTGTGCATTCCAATGTTAATTGAGCCATCTATTGTTTGTCTGTTGACAAGTCCTCTTGGAGGCTCCTGATGGGATTAGTCTGATGTCAGCTTTACCTCCCTATCTATTGTGGGATGTTTGTCCTAATGTGCAATATTTGCTTTATTGTTCATGTGGGGACTGCCCATATTTGTGAAGTGTATAAAAACCTGTATTTCTGTTCAATAAAGAGTTCTTGTTTGCATCAAGCAAGTCTCGCCCGGCTATAATACCTTGGTCCTGTGTTCCAGCGGCGAGGAAGCAATTCTATGACGAAATCACCCAGTCAGAGTTACAGGCATTCCATCACAGTCCTGTTTACCATTATCACCAAAAGTGAAAGTACAAGAAAATCCCTAATGTTGGGTTGTCCCTAAAAAAGGAATAAAGGGGAAATCTTCCAATGGAGACACTAGAGCTGATGACGACAAGGAATTTACTCACTTTGGAGAGATTTCCTTTCACTTCCTGTTCTGGCTATGGGACAGGCAGTGAAGGAAATTTCCCCAATGAGACACAGGTGGCAAAAAAAACTGAAGGGGTTATAACTCTCCTTTACTCTATCCAAAATGAAGAAAAAAAAAAAAAGCTTTGCCTGCAGTTCTAGTTTAGTTCCGGTTCACATTTAAGCGGTGTGGAATTCAAGCAGGTTTCTGTGCTACTCCTGCATGAAAATCGCACCCCATTCATGCGAACCACTGTGGGTGTGTAATTTTGAGTTAAGGGTATGTAGGGTGTTAAGTTAACGACACCCTGAAATTGGTTTGTAAAGCGCGGTGCGATTTGCAGAAACGAATCACATGGGTGTGAATACCCATGCGATCTGATTCTGGTGCAGACAATGAAGGCTTTGGTGCGATTTCAGAAATACAGAATGATTGGCTCAAATTGCACTGCACAGAAATCGCAGGTGATTTGCATAGGAACAGGAATCCAGTGCGATTCCTGTGTGAATCACATGCAATGTGCAGTGTCAACCGGTACTAAATCCTATTTTTCATTAAAGAGCACCTGTCATGAGAAAAAAATATGAAGGCTCTCATTGTTCGTCTCCTTTCAAAAATGGTGCCTGGCTGTGTCTGTCATGGACCTGGAACAAGCATGCAGAAACTGAAAATCAGAATTCCTTATTGCTATAATAAGATTGGACCGATGACACCGAAAATACTTAATTATGGTATCATATGACAGCAATAGGGCGGACTAAGCAATAGCAACCTGCCTCTCTCTTCATGACAGGTTCCCTTTAAACTGCCACAAATATTTTCACAACACCTGCAATTTCATACCAGCATGATAGCAAAATCCAAGCCTGTGCCCAGGGGCGGACTAACAACTCATGGGGCCCCCGGGCAATAGGGGATCATGGGGCCTCTGTGTCCTTGCCCAAACTCAAAAAAGCCTATGAAAAAGGTACCAGGGGCATCTCATGGGGCCCCCTACTAACCCCGGGCCCTCGGGCAGTGCCCGAGTTTCCAAATGGTCAGTCCACCCCTGCCTGTGCCTGTTCCTGAAATAGTAGATGGACAGGCAGAGCTGCAGAAACCCTTGTTTGTAATTTCTAGGGCTGGTCTGTTATCTGCAGCTTTGACAGTTTCATGTTTCAGGCAGGTAGATTCAAGGAGGTGGACATGTGACCACACAGAGAAATGCCTGCTGGATGCTACAAACCATCAGAGCCATGAACAAAGGAAATACTGGAGAGATCTACTTTATACGGGTCATCACAGCGGCTTGATAAAATGTTTTCTGACTACTGAAGACTTCTACAATCCAGCAATATCTCCCGCAATCTGCAGCACCTCTGGGACTCACGGGTAGTTTGGCGTCCTGTCCGCGGTCAGCCGGAGTGAAGACATTGAGGTACAGGCAATCCTCGGATACATTTGGGAGCTTGATTGTGGCTTTGATCATATCTATCATACTTTCCATTGCTTCTAAGGTCTGTAGACACCTGAAAGAGAGGAAATATGGAAATCAGATCAGAGCTGAGTGAGGATCTCGGGGGGAGGAGGGAAATCTGCACACGATTCATGGAGGCTGTTCACGGATCTACCACCCTAGAGGTGACTCAAACCAGGTCCAGGGCAAGGCAGGGGCAAGGCAGACACCCGCCTCTGCTGCAATAGGATCATTTTTTTTTTCTTGGATTTGGATACACTTTATCACTGGTCACACCGCTGCAATTTAAAATCGCGCAATTTGTGTGCACTTTCAGTGCGATTTCTGAAGACTTTATTGCTATTTGTGAAGACTTTCAACAACTTTTTTGAAATTTGTGGTGCGATTTCCATTATATTCTATGTATGTGAAATCGAAACAAAACTGCAGAAGTAATGCAAGAACGACTTTAGAAATCGCACTGCAGCAAATCGCACATGTTTAAGACACTGACATTCACATTCATTAGATGCATTTTCAGGTAGGATTTCACTTCGCAAATCGCAGATGAAATCGCATCTAATGAATGTCAGTGTCTTAAACGTGTGATTTGCTGCAGTGCGATTTCTAGAGTAGTTCTTGTATGCGATTTCAGGTGCAATTTTAATTCGCAAATCGCACCGGTATGAACGGACAGTGAAGGATCAGACAACAACTGTGCTGAAAAATAGAACGGAAGGGAGATCAGATTATACAGACTGCTGAACTCTCTAATGAAGATGGATCTATCTGGAGAATGTCATAAATGAAAGTCCGGCTTACTTTACAAACTGTAGTAAACATTTTTAAATAAAGTTTTTATACAAATTATTATTACAAAACAAAATACGTTCTTGATGAACATTAAAAAGGAAAACTGGTTATTTCCCCCGGAGGGCTGTAAATATCTATGTGGGTGGAAAAGCTTCCTCGGTGACAGCTGTCAGTGCAAAGGTGAAGGAAAAGTTGCTGACTCTTGGAAATTCTCACATTACAGACCGAGCTGAACAATATTGTGATAATAAGTGACAGTTCAGTGACGATGATTCATAATGACGGATGATTCTGGTGTCCTGCTGGTGTCACACTGAAGAGGGCGACCATCCGATCTACTCCCAATAATACAATGTAACAAACCAACGATTGGCTGGTGCTGGAAGTGTAACTTTGTATCTGTATGTTGTATCCATTGTATTACATTATTGTATTAGAGTAGATGGAAACCCAGACTGGATGATATTAACAAGGAGCTCCCCCCCCCCCCCCCAAAATAATTAAAAGTCAGCAGCTACAAATACTGTAGCTGCAGAGTTTTAATTTTTTTTTTTTTTTTAAGCTCACAAATGTGCAACTATAACGAAAAACCCGTAAGTGTTCACAAAAAAGTGCAAGTGCAAAACACCACACGAAAAAGTGCACTTAGGGGTGTGCTTTGTCCTTCCCCCCGAAGGGGATGGACCACTACCCTGATCCCCCGGGGCACGAAGCTCCTGACAGGGACAAGGTTCCCATTTGGTCCTCCTGGCCAAAAGGCCTGGTGGACCACCGTTCCTTGTGTCCAGCCAAAGCCGGAAACCCAGTACTTGGTCAGGGGGCTCTCCCGAAGAGAAAACCCCCTAGGGACAGGGGAGGAAGGAACCAAAAGGCCACACATCCTCCCCCTAGACTTCAGGGCAGGCCCGAGGACCCACACCCTCCATCCTGTGAAAACACACACATAAGTAAAGAAAAAGTGACAAAATGTGGGAGTGATAATAAATTAAATAAATAGAAAATAAAAAAGTGGTCATGCCAAATAGTGCACAGACCAGGCCCTGAGGCCTGTAGCAAAAATTGCCCCGAACTTAGCCAGAAGGCCTGGTCCTGAGGGCGCTGTGCAGAAAAAGTGGTAAAACAGTGACCATGTGCCATCTTCACACTGTGGGGACCCACACCCAGGTGTTACTAGTGGCACCCCTGAGGCGACTACTCAGGGGGCACTGGTTTGCGGACTCTCTGCCTTCCCGACCCCAGACAAGGTAGATCCGTCCAAATCAGGAGGAACTGGGTCCTTCCGGTCTCCTCTGGAGAATTACTCCCAGGCCCCAGCTACTCATGGGCACTACGCTTTCTGTCCCCCCGGTACTAGCTGTCCAGACCCCCATCATACCAGCAGGGATACTATACAACCAGTCATCCCCGCAAAGTTAGAATGACGATGGAGCACCCCCACTGGACACTGATAAGAACAGATACTACACTTGATCTTAGCCAAAAGGCCGAGAAGGCTGCAGAGTTTTAATAGGACACTTACCTGCCCCTGCATCCAGCGATGTCCTCATCCGAGCCGATTCTTTATTCAGCTTCGGGTCCAGGCGCCAGCATCTTGACTAAGGGAACCGGTAGTGAGGCCGGCTTCCAGCTGTCCATGTGTGAGCTGCTGTCTGCTTTGTGAGTGATTGCACAGCCTTCAGGGACCTTTGATATGTCCAAGAAGACTGTAGGAGAAGGGGGGGGGGGGGCGAAACTTACACTTGGATTGCCTCAGTAATTTTCAGGGGGCGGAGCCATGCAAATTATTTATTCATTTATTTCAGGTACTTCTATAGCGCCATCAATTTACACAGCACTTTACATATATATTGTACATTCACATCAGTCCCTAACCCTCAAGGAGCGTACAATCTAAGGTCCCTAACTTACATTCATACATACACAAATCATCATTACCAGGGGCGGACTGACAACTCATGGGGCCCCTGGGGAATAAGGGATCATGGGGCCCCTGTGTCACTCAAACCACATCCATAAAAGCCTACGAAAGGTCTCATGAGGGCCCCTTACTGACCCCGGGCCCTTGGGCAGTGCCTGAGTTTCCGAATGGTCAGTCCGCCCCTGATCATTACACACCCCACTGGCCAGATGCACATCCAGCACCGCTGGCATGTAGTCCAAATATAATCATACAGAGAGCCATTTATTTCAGACTGCACAGAGGTGTTTCAGGCTTGTTGGTCATCATCAGTGCAGTGTAGGAAAATCATGGCTTCTATGGAGGAGGGCTTAGGACCCAACAAGACAATATGACCATACAGGGTATGGTGAGAAGGGAGTAAAACAGTCAAAAAGGCCTCCAACTGAATCAGTGCCTAGCACAGTAAAGCCTTCCTCTACCAGAAGGTATTCACAAGTCTCACTGATTTGGTTGGAGGGATTTTTGATCGTTTTAGTCCCCCTGACCATAACCTGTTTGGCCAAACTGACCAGATTCCTGATGGTGACAACAGTGGGCCATCCACCTGTAATGTGTGTTGGTGGGTTGCTGGTAGTCACCACTAGGGGTGCATGTAACAGGGTGACAAACAGAAGACAGTTGTCACCTTATAACAGGAAGTGCTTGAACAAGGAACTTCATGGCAGGATCACCAAGGATTATTTAATGAAAGCTGCAGATTTAAATAAATTGATAACCTTTAAAATGACAATAACTAATCAGTGATTGGGTTTCCATTTACATTAACCCCTTGCCATCCAGAAGATTTACCCCCCTTCCTGACCAGACCACTTTTTGCAATACGGCGCTGCTTTACTTTAACTGACAATTGCACGGTCATGCAATGCTGCACCCAAATTAAATGTATGTCCTTTTTTCCCCACAAATAGAGATTTCTTTCAGTGGTTTTTGATCACCTCCGCCTTTTTGCAATTTAAAAAATATATATTTTTTTCACTTTTTGCTATAAATCATATCTAGTAAAAAATTTACAAAAATCACATTTTGCCATATTCTGCTGTATGTCTTTGCTAAAAAAAAATATCCCAGTATGTGTAAATTAATTGGTTTATGTGGCAGTTATAGTGTCTACAAATGGCGTTATATATACTGGAATTTTTCATTTTTTTTAATACTAGTAATAGCGGTGATCAACGACTTATAGTGGGACTGCAGCAGGCATTCTGACACTGGGGGGAACTGACTAACTGCCACTGACACTAATACAGTGATCTGTGCTAATAAAATGCACTGACACTACTAATGGCACTGGGAAGGAAGGGGTGAACATTTGTGGCGATCAAAGGGTTAACTGTGTGCTGTTTTACAACATGTACTGTGTGTGTTTTATTTGGGAAACATGCTGCTGTGTATTTTTCTGCTGTGCAGAAAAATACATAGCAGCATGTTACTGCTGGTAGGAGAGAGAGACCTGTGCTGTTTGCCCTGTCAGAATCTCCGGCCGGACCTGGTGATTGATATCCGTAGCCGCCAATGGCGGTGCGGATAGAGCAGCGCACCCTACCCGGAAATCATGTATATATACGTGCGTTTGCAAAGCCCGGGCCGCCCTGTAGCAGTAGTTCTGCTATAGGGCGACGGGCAACTGGTTAATATCATTTTTACTATCTCTAAATAGAGAGTTGGCGACCATGAGCAGCACCTGACCAATCAGCTCTTCTCTTCTCCCCCTGCCATACTTACATGGGAGGCTGTTCGGTGGCCTCTCTCACCCCATTCCACCCGTCTGGAGGTCCTGACGCTGCAAAGCGTAGTGGTCCCACCGGAGGCTTAGCAAAGGGGACCCCATAGAAGGCGTGCACCGCTCTGTCCGCATCTTTGACCGTCACCGTTTTGCCGAGCAGTTTACCGTACCGCGTGCCCACCAGCGGCCTTCCATCCTCGCCTCCTGCCATCAAAGCAAAGACACAATTTACTGAGTGATATCACTGTGTAAGGAAAGGAGCAGGAAAATGGCAGCTTAGAGCGAGCGAGAGGGGACATTGTCAGATTTACACATTGCAAGGAAAACGACGGCACGAGAATCCCATCTAGAGGCTAGGTTCACACCTATGCAGGTTGCATTTGAGCCGTTTCTGCATTGTGCTTTTGATACGTTTTGCGTTTTTTTTTTCCCATGTTTTATTATTTTTCTTGTTGCCAGGCATATTTAAAATGCAGCAAAAATGCAATATATGCTTTTCTGCAGCGTTTCCATTGAAGTCTATAGAGCCAAAAAATACAACTTTTTGCGTTCAAAAAAGTCCCTGATCCTTTTAAAAAAACGCACCGGGTGAAAACGCACAGGTGTGAACATGTCCCATAGGAAATCATGTTAAATGGACTGTACTGCATTTCTGCAAAATGTAAAACACTGCAGAGAACGCTTAGGTGTGACTCTAGGGTTAGGTTGCTTTTCACACTCATAACTAGATATCAATTAAGAGATTGGGAGACAAGGGCGGTGGCTGTTGCATGATGGGAGCAGAGGTTTTTTTTTTCTGGTTCAGACCTGTAACATCCTGAAGTGGCAGATGGAAAAATACATTTGTAATTTTTTTACACACACACCCGACAGTTGGAGAACTTGAATATTCTGAATAGAATGTTTGTTTTTCTGCATTCAGAGCACTTGGCGGTGTTCCTGCAGTGATTTGTGTACACTCGGAGTTCCTCCATCGCTTGGCATGAGCAGGATCTTAGTGTTTGCACTCACCTTTGTCCCAGTCCGGCCTCACCTTAGTCCCATTGCCTGGCCTCACCTTTGTCCCAATGCCTGGCCTCACCTTTGTCCCATTGCCTGGCCTCACCTTTGTCCCATTGCCTGGCCTCACCTTTGTCCCAATGCCTGGTTACATGTACTATTATGGAGACTGATATCCTCTGCACAGATCTCAACAAATGTTCCAAAGGTCTGCTCTGCCATAAAGTCACATTTACAGATCTGTAGATAGGACCTGCACATTCAGGAGCCAGAAATATAGAAACCCGCTACTGGGCAACAATTGGCTCCCGTGAGAACTGGCGTGCATGTAAAGGTTGCAGAATGTTGAGGGTTGTACACGCCTGTGCATGATGCTGAGTCACAGTCGGTCAGATCCCTCTCCCCCAGTACCCCCGGGCCACATGACCAGCGAGCATTGTGCAAACAAAACGGTCACTGTTTAGTCCTGGAAAACAGTGAAATATCACATACCCCACGGGGACCTGTCCCTCCCTCCCTCCCCCCCCCCCCCCCCACACTGTGCGGATCAATGGCCAGTTTGCAGCACATCAGATCTGCAAGAACTAGGGACAAGAACTTCATACTAATAACTATCTGGTGGATAATTGTACAGTATATAATAATAATCCTGTATATAAAGAGAACAAAGGGGACCCCGCACAGTGTCATACCCGCCAGCAATTGACTGACCAATCCGGTTCAGCTACTCTGGACAAAAGGAAAGGTTTAAGTTTCATACAATTTGCAATACAGACAGGGGCGGACTGACAACTCATGGGGCCCCCGGGCAATAGGGGATCATGGGGCCCCTGTGTCCTTGCCCAAACTCAAAAAAGCCTATGAAAAAGGTACCAGGGGCATCTCATGGGGCCACCTACTGACCCCGGGCCCTCCAAATGGTCAGTCCGCCCCTGAATACAGAGAACTAACATGCATGCATGAGAAATCAGAATGCCCTTCTGTATATAGTACCAGTCTCCAGGAGTCAGTGTGCCCCTCCTGTATGTAGTGGCAGTCAGTGTGCCCCCCTGTATGTAGTGGCAGTCAATGTGCCCCCTGTATGTAGGGGCAGTCAGTGTGCCCCCTGTATGTAACGGCAGTCAGTGTGCCCCCCTGTATGTAACGGCAGTCAGTGTGCCCCCCTGTATGTAACGGCAGTCAGTGTGCCCCCCTGTATGTAACGGCAGTCAGTGTGCCCCCCGTATGTAACGGCAGTCAGTGTGCCCCCCTGTATGTAGTGGCAGTCAGTGTGCCCCCCTGTATGTAGTGGCAGTCAGTGTGCCCCCCTGTATGTAGTGGCAGTCAGTGTGCCCCCCTGTATGTAGTGGCAGTCAGTGTGCCCCCCTGTATGTAGTGGCAGTCAGTGTGCCCCCCTGTATGTAGTGGCAGTCAGTGTGCCCCCCTGTATGTAACGGCAGTCAGTGTGCCCCCTGTATGTAACGGCAGTCAGTGTGCCCCCTGTATGTAACGGCAGTCAGTGTGCCCCCTGTATGTAACGGCAGTCAGTGTGCCCCCTGTATGTAACGGCAGTCAGTGTGCCCCCTGTATGTAACGGCAGTCAGTGTGCCCCCTGTATGTAACGGCAGTCAGTGTGCCCCCCTGTATGTAACGGCAGTCAGTGTGCCCCCCTGTATGTAACGGCAGTCAGTGTGCCCCCCTGTATGTAGTGGCAGTCAGTGTGCCCCCCTGTATGTAGTGGCAGTCAGTGTGCCCCCCTGTATGTAGTGGCAGTCAGTGTGCCCCCCTGTATGTAGTGGCAGTCAGTGTGCCCCCCTGTATGTAGTGGCAGTCAGTGTGCCCCCCTGTATGTAGTGGCAGTCAGTGTGCCCCCCTGTATGTAGTGGCAGTCAGTGTGCCCCCCTGTATGTAGTGGCAGTCAGTGTGCCCCCCTGTATGTAGTGGCAGTCAGTGTGCCCCCCTGTATGTAGTGGCAGTCAGTGTGCCCCCCTGTATGTAGTGGCAGTCAGTGTGCCCCCCTGTATGTAGTGGCAGTCAGTGTGCCCCCCTGTATGTAGTGGCAGTCAGTGTGCCCCCCTGTATGTAGTGGCAGTCAGTGTGCCCCCCTGTATGTAGTGGCAGTCAGTGTGCCCCCCTGTATGTAGTGGCAGTCAGTGTGCCCCCCTGTATGTAGTGGCAGTCAGTGTGCCCCCCTGTATGTAGTGGCAGTCAGTGTGCCCCCCTGTATGTAGTGGCAGTCAGTGTGCCCCCCTGTATGTAGTGGCAGTCAGTGTGCCCCCCTGTATGTAGTGGCAGTCAGTGTGCCCCCCTGTATGTAGTGGCAGTCAGTGTGCCCCCCTGTATGTAGTGGCAGTCAGTGTGCCCCCCTGTATGTAGTGGCAGTCAGTGTGCCCCCCTGTATGTAGTGGCAGTCAGTGTGCCCCCCTGTATGTAGTGGCAGTCAGTGTGCCCCCCTGTATGTAGTGGCAGTCAGTGTGCACCCCTGTATGTAGTGGCAGTCAGTGTGCCCCCCTGTATGTAGTGGCAGTCAGTGTGCCCCCCCTGTATGTAGTGGCAGTCAGTGTGCCCCCCTGTATGTAGTGGCAGTCAGTGTGCCCCCCTGTATGTAGTGGCAGTCAGTGTGCCCCCCTGTATGTAGTGGCAGTCAGTATCCCCCCCTGTATGTAGTGGCAGTCAGTGTGCCCCCCTGTATGTAGTGGCAGTCAGTATCCCCCCCTGTATGTAGTGGCAGTCAGTGTGCCCCCCTGTATGTAGTGGCAGTCAGTATCCCCCCCTGTATGTAGTGGCAGTCAGTGTGCCCCCCTGTATGTAGTGGCAGTCAGTATCCCCCCCTGTATGTAGTGGCAGTCAGTGTGCCCCCCTGTATGTAGTGGCAGTCAGTATCCCCCCCTGTATGTAGTGGCAGTCAGTGTGCCCCCCTGTATGTAGTGGCAGTCAGTGTGCCCCCCTGTATGTAGTGCCCTCACCTGCACACAGCCCAGCCAGCAGCAGGCAGCACAGCACAGCTCCTTCTCCCTTCATCTCCTCTCTGGAGTGAAGGACAGCTGCGGCTACACAGAGTAATAGGGCAGAGGCTGGGCTGGGCTGGTCCTGGCTGCTGATTGGCTGTAGAGGCTGAGAAGGATCCTATGTCTATAGGTGGAAAGTTTCTTCATTGCTCAGGCTGGGAGGAGGACCTGTCACTGTCTGTGATCTCAGTGCTTGCTGAACAGATCCATCCCCCTCCCCCATATAGGTCTGCTCAGGTTCTAGGCGTCAGCTATATCAGGTACCAGGAGACACTGGAGGTGTGAAGACCCAGGACTGTGCACTCAGGAACCACATATGGGATGAAGAGCGCCCTCAGCAGGCCCAGAGCTGCAACTACAAACTGACCTGTCACTGGGGCTGAGTGTCCACTAACAGTAGAGAGGGCTTGGAGGTTGCAAAAAACAAAATCATGTGACTTCATTTTTTGGGATTTAAGTTCCCTGCACAGTTCAGCACACCTGCTGTGCCCATTATGAGGGGTTTCCACCATTCCTGTACTAAGTTCTTAGATCTGAATACCTGCTGTGCCCATTATGAGGGGTTCCCACCATCCCTGTGCTGAGCTCCCGGCTCTGTACACCTGCTGTGCCCATTATGAGGGGTTCCCACCATCCCTGTGCTGAGTTCCCTGGTCTGTACACCTGCTGTGCCCATTATGAGGAGTTCCCACCATCCCTGTGCTGAGTTCCCGGCACTGTACACCTGCTGTGCCCATTATGAGGGGTTCCCACCATCCCTGTGCTGAGTTCCCGGCACTGTACACCTGCTGTGCCCATTATGAGGGGTTCCCACCATCCCTGTGCTGAGTTCCCTGGTCTGTACACCTGCTGTGCCCATTATGAGGAGTTCCCACCATCCCTGTTTAGATTTCCAGGTCTGTACACCTTCTGTGCCCATTATGAGGGGTTCCACCATCCCTGTGCTGCATTCCCGGGTCTGTACACCTTCAGTGCCCATTATGAGGGGTTCCCACCATCCCTGTGCTGAGTTACAAGGTCTGTACACCTTCTGTGCACATTATGAGGGGTTCCCACCATCCCTGTGCTGATTTCCTAGGTCTGTACAGCTGCTGTGCCCATTATGAGGGGTTCCCACCATCCCTGTGCTGAGTTCCCGGGTCTGTACACCTGCTGTGCCCATCATGATGGGTTCCCACCATCCCTGTGCTGAGTTCCTGGATCTGTACACCTGCTGTGCCCATTATGAGGGGTTCCCACCATCCCTGTGCTGAGTTTCTGGATCTGCATACCTTCACGTACCCGTTGTAGGAGGCCTCCGCCCTTTATTTTCTTTGTAATTATGTATCAGATGATATTTGTAAAGAATTAATTGTTGCAGCAGATTGTAATCTCTGGTTAACATTGGCCTGGAGGCTGGGGGTTGGACGGCGGCCAGATCCATTCTGTATAAGATCACATCATAGCTCCACCCAATGTTTCATTAACAGATCTGCTCCCTCTCTGTGCTTCGCACCCCGCAGCCGTCCCGCCATCAGGGCCCCCACTGGAGATATTTGGTCGCAGATATCAGACCAGATATGGTGGGAATTGAAGTCTGCTGTAAGCCATGAGGCAGGAAAATAAATGAAACAGCAGAAAAATAATTTCTACTATTTACATTCATTCAGCTCTGAGCTGAGTTATTAGCAGTGGAAAATCCCCAGCTTTAGTGTATTTTATTTAGAGAGCCCAGCACACTGCACGTAATTATCACCAATGGTGGCAGATGCACCAGAATTTATACAGAATTGTATGAATTATTTATAAAACAACAAAAATTTCTGACTGTATTTTGCTTAATACGGCGATTTCCTGTGATTGTCAGCTGCACATTGAACATTATATTTCACATTGTGATTCACAAATCTGAGACATGGCAGCAGGGGCGGACTGACCATTCGGAAACTCAGGCACTGCCCGAGGGCCCGGGGTCAGTAGGGGGCCCCATGAGATGCCCCTGGTACCTTTTTCATAGGCTTTTTTGAGTTTGGGCAAGGACACAGGGGCCCCATGATCCCCATTGCCCGCATATGTATATGTTCCAGTTTGGTAATTTGCTGGCTACAGGGACCTGTAGTCAAAACTGTATATATGCCGTATTTAAATCTTGGGAACAGAATGTATATTTATATATTTGGCAAAGAATATTTATTTAGGCAAAATCATTGTGTATGACTCATGTTAGTTGGATGAGTCATGTGATTGTGTTCGGGGTTATTGCAGGTCAGCTGGATGACTCAACAGGTTGTGGCTCTAGCGCCTCCTCCTGACCCTGGAGGATCATAGAACCTTCCAGAAGTTGGTAAGCATGAAGGGGTTGAGGCCTAATCTGCATATTTATGGGGGGGTCCTGCCAATCCTAGGTTTGGAGGCCCTGGTAGAGTGTGGACTGGCCTATAAGTATGGGAGAGTCCGGCTGACAGAGGAGTCGGGTGGAAGATGGAGTGCTGAGGAGGATGTTGGTGGCTAGGAGGGGGGGGATGGAGTGGGTGGATCTGAGGAGTGGCTGGCTGCACTCTTGAGGGGTCCTAACCAATCCCCAACAGGAGGATGGTAAGGGGCTGGACACCCTTAAAAGTATTAGAGCCTGCTCAGTTGGTGAGAAGAGCAGGAGAGTTGGAGCGTTTGGGTGGAAGCTGCAAGGAGGCCTATTGGGATAGGGCCTACCTGCAGGCCTGGAGCTGGAATGAAGGAAAACTCAGAAATTATCAACCCCCTGAGAGAGGACCATCTGTATGGCAGGGAAGGAGCGGCCCAGCTGATAGGCCTGGAAGCAGCCAGCAACCCACAAGCAGCACAGGAGAGGATCTGAATGAATACACTTACACCCCCGGGGCAGATAGGGGAAGGAGCACTCTGGTGAAAAACCAGATTAGCCATCTACCAATGACTGTGTACCTCTCAAAGTGATAGGAACTGGATTCCCTGTTCTGGGACACCTCCAGAATGCTGGGCGAAGAGGAGAAGTTCATCTAGGGTCTGGGGTGGTACACTTAGGAGGCGCTGGCTAGCTCTCTGAGAAAGTCTGTGCTGCAGAGAAGGCTTGTAAATAGTTCCAGGACATTGTCCTCAGTTTATCAATACCCTTGGGCATCCTGTACACCCCTAACCCTATCCCAGTTCAAGATCTCCTAAATAAAACAACAAAATCAAAGCTCAAGGACTGATTTCTGACTTTGGATGCAAGCTTTTGTGAAGATGTGTGATGCTTGGCTGTGCAGGACTATATGGGGACCCAAATCTTCTAGCGACTCCTAACGGGGTAGTACTTCATAGTTATAAAGGAAATACTGTAAGGCAATATATATATACATATATACAGCCTAGCCACAACTCCCTGCAGCTAGAAAGTTTGTTGGGCCAATCACAGATTGCCAGTAAGCAATTATTCACACATTTTGTCTTGTTGAAGCACCTTCCCCTTAAGGGAAGCCCTCCAGCAAACTGTAGAAAGGTGAATATCGGTAAAGATCACACAGTTCCAATGTTGCAAGGAGGACAGCCATCCATGATAAACCTGCAAAGGGGAAGAAACAGATATACAACCCTCACACTTGCTAAACTATCTACATAGTCTGCTAGCAGGGGGCTATAATCCTGCTAACCAGGGGCGGACTGACCATTTGAAATCTTGGACACGGCCCGAGGGCCCAGGGTCAGTAGGGGGCCCCATGAGATGCCCCTGGTACCTTTTTCATAGACTTTTTTGAGTTTGGGCAAGGACACACGGGCCCCATGATCACATATTGCCCGGGGGCCCCATGAGTTGTCAGTCCGCCCCTGCTACCAACAGAAAACTTTTTACAAACAAGAGTCTCTGAAGGAGGAGCCCCTCCATAGTATCAGTTTTATAAATAATGTCCTGGGCCTTACCACCAAAATCTCTCCCACAATATCAGACCGAAGAGGGAAAGAAAACAGTGGGCGGCATGATTCTGTCCGGCAGTTTAACAAAGAAAAGGGATATTTTTCTTCAAGTACTTCACCAGTACAACTCAGGATTCGGTAATGTATTGACTTCTCCATTAGGGCTTTGTTTGGCCACCAAGTAGCTCTTGCTGTGCCGGCCTTAATGATGACCACTCAGTCCTTGTAGATGGCCCTTTATCTGCTCAACGCCAGCCAAATATCCTGGAACCAGGCCAACCCCCTTTGGGACATGCAAATAGTCCCGAATCAGCTCCTCTAACTAACGGGAGTGGGAGGTCTCAATGGTATCCGTAACATCTGCGGGGACATACGGGAGGTCCAATCCCCACTCTAGTGCGGTTCTCCTCTGTACATCCCTCTGGAACCTGAAGAATCTAGGGAGCTCTCTGCATTTGCCCCATCCCGATAACATACAAGCCTGCGGAGACCTGGTAATCCACAGCTTGTAGGCCAAGTCCTGGGCCTCTTTCCTGCCATGGCCCCTCCTGGGTTTAATGTTGGAGATGGATTGAGTCCTGTTTGTCTGGTTGCTGTCTTTCTACAGGGGTCAATGGAGACTCCACTCTGACCACCCATCCTGCCTGGTCAGGGGTAACGGTCCTCTCCCTCTGTCTTGCTTCCCCTCCAGACAGTCCCTCATGTGGGTCAGAAATGTCCTGAGCATCCCCCAGTGCCATTCCTCATCCGAATCACTCTCCAGGGAATACCCATTCTCTAACTCTAGAGGCCCAAACTCAGCTTCCAGTCTGCGAGACTCCCAATCAATCGCGCCCCGATCGTCACTCCTCACCGGCTCACCCGAGGATATGTGGGCACCTGAACTTGGCTTCTTCCAAGTGCAAGGGCAAACTTTATCAGCTGGCCTCTCCTAGGGAACAACTTCAGTAGTACCAACCACACTTGCCTTTGGTCACAACTCTTCCTTCTCCAGGCTGTGGACCACTGCTATCATCTGGCCTGTCCAACAAGAGTAGTGGTGGATACCTTACCGACTCTAAGATTGCACACCACACACCTTTTGCCATCCTCCAGCCAACCAGTGATCTGCCACCGGTCATCTACTCAGATCCACTGAATAGATGACCGGTGGCAGGTCGCTGGGTATCAGTCTCATCAGTGGCTTGTCACAGTGCCCACACCTCAGCCAGGCTTCTAACGCTTCAGTGCAATCAAGACATAGCAGACATAGTCTCTCCACTCCATCGACAATGCCGAGGGTGAAATTTCCACCTTGCTCCAATTGCACACTGGTGTCCACCATCTGATGGTCAGGTACCGATCCCGGCAACATAGCAAAGTTGACTACTGGGTTACAAAGTTGCAGGTAACCTGCCATGTTGCTTCTCTCTAACCTTCTCACCACACTGGATGTACTTGGCAGACTTTAAGGTGCGACCACGCCCCTCACTCAGACTTGTTGGCACCAGTGGCACTGCCCTGCAGGATTTTTCCCTCGCTTGTGTTAACCCTTGCTCAGCCAAGCAAGCATGTACTGACCGGGTTGCAGACTCATAAGTACTGTTTCCTGACAGGAACACAAGAACAGTCCACTGGTTTTTGCAGAACTTGTTTCAGCCATAGTTGGATGTAAGTCTGCTTAGCGTCTAAGTCACGCCCACTGAGGGCCTAATGTATGCCTATTTACCGAATGTCACACCCACTCAGCACCTAAGTCACGACTCTTAGCGCCTAATGCACGCCCACTCAGGCTTAATGCAGGCCATAGATGGGTCGAAAACCGGCTGTTTTTTTTAACAAAAAAACGAAAAATCGGTCGTTCAATAGGCCGACGTTACCACCAACGGTAAAAAACAATCAGGTGATTTTCGTCCCGTCTACAGCCAGCATTTAATTACTTCTGTCCCTGCAGAGAGCTCCACTATTATGTTTGACATTAAAAATTCTTGTGGTTGCAACATTGTATCTATTTGTATCCAGGGGCGGACTGACAACTCATGGGGCCCCCGGGCAATAGGGGATCATGGGGCCCCTGTGTCCTTGCCCAAACTTAAAAAAGCCTATGAAAAAGGTACCAGGGGCATCTCATGGGGTCCCCTACTAACCCCGGGCCCTCGGGCAGTGCCCGAGTTTCCAAATGGTCAGTCCGCCCCTGTTTGTATCCATTTCAGGGGCGGACTGACAACTCATGGGGCCCCCGGGCAATAGGGGATCATGGGGCCCCTGTGTCCTTGCCCAAACTCAAAAAAGCTTATGAAAAAGGTACCAGGGGCATCTCATGGGGCCCCCTACTGACCCCAGGCCCTCGGGCAGTGCCCGAGTTTCCAATTGTCAGTCCGCCCCTGATTGGTAGCTACTCTCAGGCATGAATCATAAAGGTGAACACTACCTGCCACTAGGGGCTCCAGGATGAGGGGCCAAAGGAGAACAATCCAAGCGAGTGAGCCCATGGGTCTCAGTGAAGGAGACAGCTTTGACTGATGAGGCAGAGATTGCTTGGGATGGGGAGGGAGGGCAGAGATGGCACTTTGTATCCTCCAGGAGTCCCAAAACTGCACCGCTCATTCCTGGCCAATCACAGCGATCCATCCCTGAGAATATCTGACACAAATACAAATCACCTCTGAGTTATAGATTCAGTTTGTATTTTCTCAGATTTCTAATTTAACATTCCTTGGAGGGGAATTTAGAAGTAGTATAGACTCCAGGGGGTTTATTTACTAAAGCTGGAGAGTCCAAAATCAGACTCCCTTCTGAATAGAAACCAATCAGCTTCCAGGTTTCATTGCCAAAGCTTCATTGAGCAAGCTGAGGTTAGAAGCTGATTGGTTTCTATGCAGAAGGGAGTCTGATTTTGTACTCTCCAGCTTTAGTAAATAAACCCCCAGGAGTCAGAGAATCAGAACAGAAGTTCATTACAACACATAAGTCAGAGGAAACTTCACTGGATACATTTTAATAGTCTATCTATAGCTCAGATTGATTTTTAGTTTTGGGTGGAGAGGGGATGGGTGAGACCATCTGTCAATTGTTTACTGCTGTCTGTGTCCCCGCAAGGCAGATTCTTCTTCTCTATCTGTCCTGGTGTCATTGAGACAGGAGGTGATTGGAAATGCAAACTTAGAGTTGTCACCAGAACAAGAAGTGAGAGGAAATCCTACAATGGGGAGAACCTGTTCCAGTGACAACCATCTAGGTGGGGATTTCCCTTACTTCCTGTTTTATCTCAGGACCGGAAGTGACAACGAAACTCCCCAATGAGACACAGAGAGTGAAGAATTACTGGACATGCTTTCTCTATTTCATCCAAAAACAAAAAAAAGTTGTCAATGTTATCTTTATGGAAATCTTTCTCTCCAAGATGTTGCTTCCATCTAATGCAGAATAATTCAACTTTCATATAAACACCAATATCTGCACAATATTAGACAATAAGAGCTTCGTCTAGCTGAAAAATCCCACCACAAAATTATTTGCATTAGTAGATGTTCCAAGCTGGTTCCTCCAAAACTGAGGGTTTTACAGAGAGGGGGTTATCCGGAAATGGAGGTCTCCAGAAACAGAGTCTTCCAGAGAGGAGGTTGTCAAATAAGGGGGTCCTCCAGGGAGGGGGTTTTCTAGAGAAGGGGTTCCAGGTAGGGGGTTCTCTAGAGAACTGGTTCTCTTAAGCTGGGGTACTCCAACCCACCAGAGATAGGGTCCTCAGAGAGATGGTTCTCCAGAAAAGATTTCCAATGATGGGGTTCGCCAAAGAAGGAGATCTGCAGAGACAGGGTCCCCAGAGATGAATTCTCTAGAAATTGGGTTCTCGAGGAAAGGGGTCCACCAGAGAGGGGATTCTTTAGAGGTGGTCCTCCAGACCACCAGAGATGGGGTTTGCCAAAGAGGGAGTTCTTCAGAGAGGGGGTCCTCCAGAAGGGGGATCCTCCAGGGACAGGGTCCTCCAGAGAGGGGGTTCTGCAGTAATGAGATTCTCCAGAGAGGTGGTTCTGCAGAGAGGAGGTCCTCCAAAGATGGGATTCTTCAGAGAGGGGGTCCTCCAGAGAGGGAATTCTCCAAAGAAGGGGTTCTTCGGAGATGGGTCCTTTTGAGAAGGCGTCCTCCATAGAGGGGTTTTGTAGAGAGGGAGTTCTCCACAGATGGGGTCCTCTAGAGAGGAGGTTCTTCAGAGAGATGGTGCTCTTGGCCTCCAGTGCCAGTGTCCTTCAGGGGGAGGGGGTTCTGTAGAGAGGGGGTAATCCGGAAAGGGGATACTCCAGACCTCCAGCAACAGTGTCCTCCAGTGAGGGGGTCCTACAGAGATAGGAAGTTATGCAAAGATGGGATCCTCCAGAGAGGGGGTCCTCTAGACCTCCAGAGACAAGGTCCTCCAAACCTCTAGCGACATTGTCCTTTGGGGAGGGGGCCCTCGAGAGGGATGGGTTCCCTAGAGAAGGGGTTCTGCAAAGACGGGATCCTCAAGAGATGGGATTCTCCAGGGAAGGGGCCCCCCAAACCTCCAGAGTTTTCCAGAGATGGGGATCCCCAGTAATGTGTTCTCCAGAGGTGGTGTCCTCTATGTTTTGGGGGTCCTCCGTAGTTTGGGCCCCCCTAGCTATAGCACAGCGACTCACAACCTTTTTGCTTTCACATATTTAGACCTTGTGCTTTTGTGTATTGAGTTCTACAAATGATTTTATAAGGAAGCAATCCTGACTAACTATGTAACTGTGGTCCAGAAAAAGTGAAAAGCACCATTTGTATCATGTACAGCACTCGTGTGTGATGAGAGTAGTGGTTGCAATTCTACTTCTGGCCGAAAGGTGGCGCTATGAGCAGCATAAAGCAGCTGCAATTCCAAATTTGGTCGGCAGGTGCCCTTGTATGCGGTATATCAGTGTTTTTCAACCTTTTTTGTGCAAAGGCACACTTTTTTCATGAAAAAAATCACGAGGCACACCACCATTAGAAAATGTTAAAAAAATTTACCTCTGTGCCTATATTGACTATATATAAAGTAATTCTCTTGAATAGGAATCAAACACAAAGAAATTATTTTATAATTACTTTATTATGAAATAATAAAGTATTTTATAATTGGACCCGGGGGCCGGACCAAGAGTAGATGAATGATGTGTATGTGTCATCCATCATAGTAAGTATAGTAATATTCCCCCATAGTAAGCATAGTAATTAATCCCCCATATAGTAATTCATCCTCCATATAGTAATTCATCCCCCATAGTAATTCATCCCTCATATAGTATTTCATCCCCCCATATAGTATTTCATCCCCCCATATAGTATTTCATCCCCCCATATAGTATTTCATCCCTCATATAGTAATTCATCCCTCATATAGTATTTCATCCCTCATATAGTATTTCATCCCTCATATAGTATTTCATCCCCCATATAGTATTTCATCCCCCCATATAGTATTTCATCCCCCATCATATAGTATTTCATCCCTCATATAGTATTTCATCCCCCCATATAGTATTTCATCCCTCATACAGTAATTCATCCCTCATATAGTAATTCATCCCCCATATAGTATTTCATCCCTCATATAGTATTTCATCCCCCCATATAGTATTTCATCCCTCATATAGTAATTCATCCCCCCATATAGTATTTCATCCCCCATATAGTATTTCATCCCCCCATATAGTATTTCATCCCTCATATAGTAATTCATCCCTGATATAGTAATTCATCCCCCATATAGTATTTCATCCCCCCATATAGTATTTCATCCCTCATAAAGTAATTCATCCCTCATATAGTATTTCATCCCCCACAGTACTATTCCCCCCCCCCCCTTCTAGTAAGCCAAGTCCCCCGTGTCAATTCACTTACCTTTTGCGTTCCTCTCGCTGTCTTCCCGCGCCGTTCGGGTCTTCAGGGCGGACTGTGAGAGGAGCCTAGCTCCCCTCCCCTCACGTTCGGCACGCTGCCCCGCCTACACACATCCTGACATCCGCAAGCCGGATTAAAAGGTCCGCGCGGACTTTTGGGGCTGCCAACCGAGAGGAGGCAGGGAGCGGCGGCCGACCGAGAGGAGGGAGGGGAGCAGGCGCCCGGCACACAGAAGAGCCGCATTAGACTGGGTAAAGAGCCGCATGTGGCTCGCGAGCCGCGGCTTGCCGACCACTGAATCATTAGATTCTAATGATTGGTCTATTTGTGAGCCGAAGCCACATGTTACAGATGAAATTGGAATTTTTCCCACGGCACACCAGACAATATCTCACGGCACACTAGTGTGCCGCGGCACAGTGGTTGAAAAACGCTGCGGTATATAATAGCTGCAATTCCACGTTTAGTTAACTGCCTACTTTTCCTCTATGACCGGTAGGTGTCGCTGTGCTCATTGTACATTAGCTGTAGTTCCACCTCTGCCTGGTAGGTGTCACTGTGCAGTGTATAGTAGATGTAGATTTTCCTCTAGTCTGTAAGTGTCGCTGTGCTGAGTATACCTTGATGTAGTTCGAGTTTTGGTCGGCAGGTGTCGTTGTACAAAATGTACATTAGCTGTAGTTTCACATTATCCCGGTAGATGCCGCTGTACAGATTGTATATTAGCTGTAGTTATCCCTCCCGCCGGCATGTGTCACTCTACTGCATTATCTGTAGTTTGTCCTTCAGCCCGTATGTGTCGCTGTGAAAAACACATTAGATGTAGTTCCCTTCCCGGCCAATAGGCGTCATTGTGCAAATTATACATTAGCTGTAATTCTTCCTCTGGCCGGAAGATGTCGCTTGGTGGAGTATAACAATAGTTATAGTGCATCCTCCGGCTGACAGGTGTCGCTCTGCAGCAACATGTAGTTCCTCCTCCGGTCAGCAGGTGTCGCTGTGTAGCCTGTACGTTAGCTGTAGTCCCTCCCCCTTGCCGGCAGGTGTTGCTGTCTCCCGCTCCTGGCGCTCTTTCCGCCCGGCGTCTCTCTGGTGTCTCCCGCGCGGTGGATGGAGATGGCTGTGTCGGGTGCTTTGCGGGCGGATTTGGCTCGGGCGGTGGAGGGGAGTCAGGTGTTGGTGGTCGGGGGGCGGGAGGAATAGGCTGCGAACTGCTGAAGAACCTCGTGCTGACCGGATTCACCCAACTGCATGTGGTGAGCCGGGGGACCCCACATTATCATTAACCCCCCCCCTTCATAACACAATGGAACATCCGCCCCCCATATATCCCTACAGGAGGTGGACTGACCCAAGTGTTAGGAAGGGGACCCCAAAGTATCATCCCAGTAACAATACAACATCCCATTCCCTCAAATCACTGCGGGGGTGCACTGACCCCACTATAGGGATGGAGACCCCAATTGTATCTAGTCTATAACACTATAGGACATCCCATTCCCCAAATATCCTTGCAGGGAGTGGACTCACCCAAGTGTAAGGAGAGGGGGTGTCCATAGGTCGCTACTGGGGGTGGACTCACCCAAGTGTAAGGAGGGGCACCCATAGGTTACTACTGGGGGGGACTCACCCAAGTGTAAGGAGAGGGGGCACCCATAGGTCGCTACAGGGGGTGGACTCACCCAAGTGTAAGGAGAAGGACCCCCTAGATCACTACTGGGGGTGGACTGGCCCAAGTGTAAGGAGATGGGGCACCCATAGGTCACTACTGGGGGTGGACTGGCCCAAGTGTAAGGAGAGGGGGGACCCATAGGTCACTACTGGGGGTGGACTCACCCAAGTGTAAGGAGAGGGCACCCATAGGAAGCTACTGGGGGTGTACTCGCCCAAGTGTAAGGAGGTGGAATGACAGATTATCACCTCCCCCCCCCCCCCCCCCCAATCTCTATGGAACATATACCCCCCATATATCCCTGTAGTGGGCGGACAGACCCAAGTGTAAGGAAGGGGGCCCTCAATAGTATACCCCTCCCCATTAAAAGAGAAGTGGGGCTTTTTTTTTTTTTTTACCCCGTTATACTTACCTAGATGGATGCAGCATCGGTCCCCCGCCGACTCTAACCCCCCGGTCACATCAAGTTTGACTTTGAAATCATGTGACTTACAGTGAAGGCGCACAATTTCAAAGTCGGGGGAGATGCCGATTTCAGGTGCGACTTGCAAGACATCTTTAGAAATCGGTGCGGCTCCGACCATGTGGGAACCACACCGATTTGACCGATGTAATTGCAGACAATAGGGTGCGACTTGGCATATGATTTGCAAATCGCATTCCAAGTCGCACCCGATGTAACTGGGGTGTTAGGGTGAGAACTCAGCGATCACATGACCACTGATTCCTTAAAGCTGCTCTCAGCAGAGAGCGGTGACTTTCAGTCGCTGAGAGGCTGAGCCAGATGCCGCTCCAGACTCTGGGGTGGATCCCGACTTTGAAGTCGGGATCTTTCCCAGCCTGGACCGGCTGAGTGATGTCAGGCTGACAGCGGGCTTTAGCCCACTGTTGGCTGAAAATGGGTTACAGGAGTGCAGAACAAACTGCACTCCTGTCACCCACAGGACAAGTACAACCAAAAGGAGGTTTGTCTGTACTTCTCCTTTGTAAAATCTACATAAAAACAGATCGCAATGATCGGCAAATCTCATAAACCCAGATTTCATTCACAATAGAAAACAAATCAAACGTTTAATCTGAGAAAATGAACCTTTTTAGGGGAGGAAAAGTAATTTTGAAATTGATTTTTAGGAACAAGTCTCAAAAAAGTTGGGATGGCCGTATTTACCACAGTGTAGCCTTCCCTCTTCTAACACTCTGTAAATGTCTGGGAACTGAGGGGACCAGTTGCTGGAGGTTTGGCAGAGGAATGTTTTCCCATTTTTTCCCTGATAGAGGATTCTAAATGTTCAACATTCCTGGGTCGTCTTTGCTGAATTTTTTATTTCAAAATGAGCCATACTGTATATATTCAATTGGTGGCAGGTCTGGACTGCAGGCAGGTCAGTTAAGCACTCGGACTCTTCTATGAAGTTATGCTGTTGTCATAAATGCAGTTTTGCATTGTCCTGCAAGGCCTTCCCCGAAAAAAACATTGTCTGGATGGGAGCGTTTGCTGCTCTAAAACCTGGATATATCTTTCAGCATAGATGGTGCCTTTCCAGATGTGTAAGCTGTCCATTCCACACGCTTTGGTGCCCCTCCCCCATACCATCAGAGATGCTTTAGAACTGAGTACTGATAAGCCGGAAAGTCCCTCTCCACTTTAGTCTGACGGATGCGGCGCCCATGGTTGCCAATAAGAATGTCAAATTTTGCTTCCATTGACCACAGAACAGTTTTCCACTTTGCAACAGACCATTTGATTGAGCTTTGGCCCAGAGAGGACACCTGTGTTTCTGGATCATGTTCAGACTTCTGCATGATAGAGCTTTACCTTGCATTTTTGGATGGCACAGCAAACTGTTCAAAGACAGTAATGTTTGGAAGTATTCCTGAGCCCATGCAGTGATGTCCATCACAGAACCATGCCTGGTTTTATTGTGATGATGTCTGAGGGCCCGAACATCCCAGGCATCCTATATTGCTTTTCAGCCTTGTCCCTTGCACAGATACTCCAGATTCTGACTCTTTTGGTATTATGTACTGTAGATGATGTTATATTTAAAATCTTTGCAATTTTATGTTGAGGAACATTATTCTGAAATTGTTTAACAATTTGTAGATGTAACTTTTCACAAATTGGTGAACCTCTGCTCACCTTTACTTCTGAGACACTTTGGCTTTCTAAGGCTGGCCATACATTATACAATTTTTTTGGAGATTTTTGGTTTAGATTTACCAAAAACCATATAATATGAAGTCAAACCTAACAATATTTTCAATTGTATCCAATTAGGAAGGCCCTTGTACTACATAGTTGAAGGTAAATTTAAAGGCAATTGGGCAGAAATTGGACAGAAAATTGTATAGTGTATGGCCAGCTTTAGATGCTTTTTTTTTTTTTACCCAATCATGTTCCTGACTTGTTGCCAATTGACCAAATTGGTTGCAAAATGTTCTTCCAGTTCTTACCAGTAGTACCACTTTCCTTTCTAGCTTTTTGTTGCCCTGTCCCAACTTTTGTGAGACATGTTGCTACCATTAATTTTAAAATGACCGTATTTTTTCTTAAAATGTTACTTGTTCTCGGTTTAAATGTTTGTGTTTTCTATTGTGAATAAAATATAGATTTATGACATTAGCAGATCATTGCGTTCTGTTTTTATGTAGATTTTACAGTGTCCCAACTTTTTTGGACAAGGGGTTGCATATCACTGCTGGGGATGGACTAGCTAAAGTGTAGGGATGACCCCAGGATTACTTATGTCTCATCTGATAACCCCCATCATTGCTGTCATCTCCATCCTCTGTTCACTGCCACAGGCTGTGTACTGGCTGCTATAAAGTTTCTCTGCAGATCATCTCACCTCCTGCCTGTGGAGCCCCACCTCCAGAACCCCCCTACCCATTGAGCCCCTCCTCCGCCCCCTGTCTGTTGTTCCATCTCCCTCGAGTAGTTGTTTCTGCCTTATAACCATCTTCTCCTCCACAGATTGATCTGGACACCATTGATGTCAGCAACCTGAACAGACAATTCCTTTTCCAGAAGAAACATGTTGGCCGCTCTAAGGCTCAGGTAAGGCCCCCCCCTCCACAGAGCATCACTGCTTCTGGTCCATGGAGAACAAAGCAGAATTTTGGGTGGATATAAGAACTAAAAATGAAGCTCTGTAATGTAAATACAAGAAGTGTTGAATGTGACCTGGTATCAGTTCCTGTACAGCAGAGCTCAGGCTGGGGGAGGGAAAAGCAGCACAATAAGCCAGTCAGGTGTGCTGCCTTTCAAGAAGCATGCCGATAGGAAGAGAGAGAAGAGTAACAAAGAGATGAGCTCATCACTGTGCTGCTTCTGCTTTCACTGTCCAATCAAAGGCTGGGAGGAGGGACAAGACCTGTAAGTGGCACCTGATTGCAGCGAAGGAAAGTTGGGTCTTCTCCCCTGCCAGTAAACCCAGATTTCAACTTTAAAGCGGAGTTCCAGTCATTCTGTAAAAAAATAAATGAAAGCAACTACAAAAACTAGCTGCTGACTTTTAAAAAACAGCAATTCACCTGTCCCTCGTTCCCACGGTGTATGCCCCCAAGCCATTTTCGCCGGACATCCCATGTTCCCGGTGTCGGCAGCTTCAGTGTGGGCACCAGCATGTCAACTTGCAGTTTCACAGTCGGGTGCCCACAGCGCATGCGCAAGTAGTAGTGCACTTCCTGAATGGGCCTGTAGTCTTCTGGGACCTGATTTGTGTCCCAGAAGACCATGGGGAGGTGGAGAAGACTTCCACTTCTGATCGCCTAGGCCGGGTGTCGGCAACCCGCGGCTCTCCGGAGCCGCATGCGGCTCTTTTTCACCTTTCCTGCGGCTCCGGAGCACACTGCCCACCAGGTGACAGGCAATAGGGTCGGCAAGCCGCGGCTCTTTTAATGCAGATCTTCTGTGTGCCGGGCGCCCGCTGGCAAACATTGGCTGTCAGGATGTAGGCGGGGCAGCCCGGATGTAGGCGGGGCAGCGTGACGAACTCCTCTCCTCTCACAGTCCGCCCTGAAGACCAGAACGGCGCGGGAACCCAGCGAGAGGAACGCGCGGAGCAAAGGTAAGTGAATTCACACAATATGGGGAATGAATTACTATAGGGGGGATGAATTACTATAGGGGGGATGAATTACTATAGGGGGGATGAATTACTATAGGGGGGATGAATTACTATAGGGGGGATGAATTACTATATGGGGGATGAATTACTATATGGGGGATGAATTACTATATGGGGGATGTATTTTCAGTTTTAAAAATGTTTCTCTCAAAATATATTTCAATCGTGGTTTTGGCGAGATTTGGCTCAGTCGAAAAAAAAGGTTGCCCACCACTGACCTAAGGCTATGATTGTGATTATGACGATACACTGTGGCCCTGATTAACCCTTTGCTTACTGGGCCCTTAAACCCCCTTCATGACCAGAGCGCTTTTTGCAATATATGCAGTGTCGGATTTGTTTTAAATGTTGCAATGGTTTTGCGGCTCCCAGTCTTTTTTTCCCTCTCGGAAACGGGTCCAAGTGGCTCTTTATGTCTTAAAGGTTGCAGACCCCTGGCCTAGGCTATCACAGCAGAAGTGTGAGTGGGTACCTCTCAATTTCGGGTACCCCCATCTTCCCCCCCCCCCCTCTCTGCAAAAGTGCCAATCCTTAATGGGGAGCGGTGGACCAGTCCTTAAAATGTTACAGTGGAACTTCCCCTTTTGGGTGGAGCGGACTATGGGGAGAGGATGAAATGTCAGTGGGGGGTGACCTCTGTCCTATAAAGAGGCCCTGTCTGAGTAAGTGATCAGAACCCTGTTGTCATTCCTCTGTCTCCAGGGCTCACTTTTGACTCCTGAGTGGCTCAATAGGTGACCCGTGATTTCAGTGAAGGTTTTCAGCTCTATCTGGGGGGGTCACAGTGTAACACTCAGTATAGGGGAGAGGGGTGTATGTACATGTGCCATGGGGTTATTGACTCCCCTTCCATGTCACAGCATTTGGGCAATAACGATTGGCCACTCAGAACAATGCATCCTTGGAGGAAGGGGAAGTGGTCAAATGCTGCCTCACACCTGGAAGTATGGAGGGGTTTCCAAGGGATCTTACAAACAGGAAGTGTGGGGAAGGAGTCTGTCACTTTAATAAAATAAACATTTTGCCAATTTATCTTCCAAGACATTGTTTAACTCACCATAAAATTCTTTCATTAATATTACAACACATAAAGCTCACTGATTGGCTGGACTGACACCCCTCTCCCTCATGTTCCATCATCTCCATCCCCCATTCTGGTTGTATTTTTTCTTTCTGTCTGCAGGTGGCGAAGGAGAGCGTCCTCCAGTTCTGTCCGAGCGCCAACATCACCGCATACCATGACAGCGTCATGAAGTGAGTCCCACTGTGTCCTGGGGGAAGGGGATACATCATCTGTGATGTCAGCAAAGGGGGGTGACAATCAGTGCATTGGCTGAGTTGGGTGTCTGGGTTGTTTAGTGGGGGGGACAAGGTGTATAAATTGTCTATTGAGGGGTAGGCAGGGGGAAGGATTGTATAGTTGGGTGTGTGGATTGTATATTGGAGAATGAATGGGCTGTGATTTGTATATTGGACTCTATAGGTTATATATTAGGGGTATGAATCATCTATTGGGGGATGGGGTTGAAGGGGTAAGGGTTTGTATTGTGCTATATATTGGGAGGAGAGATTGTATAGTAATGGGGGTGGATTGTAGTAGGGGGGGGGGGGGGGGGGGGGGATGTCTGTCCTATGAGATCTTTCATAGTCCACCCATAGTGTCATCGCTTTCTGGACTGAATTGCTCCTGAACGCCAATACTGTACAGGCTGACACTGTTTTTGCCTTTTAGCGCTGAGTATGACGTGGAATTCTTCCGGAAATTCACTCTGGTGATGAACGCCTTGGACAACAGAGGTACCGAACTGCACTGGGGTGTGAAACCTTAGTAAAACTAGGGGGGTGTGCTGCTGTTAGGTCCCCCCCAGTTAGGTCACCTTCATGGGAGGTCAGGTGATCACCAGCAAGGGTTCATCCTATGGCTGACTGGCTGCATTTCCCAAAAAAAAAAAATTCAAGTGTTGATAACTTTATTCATCTAGACTAGGAGTCCCCAACCCCCGGGCCACTTATTGATATAAGTTGGGCAGCACCCACTGATGCGTTTCACCCTCAAAGTATAACTAAAAACTTTAGTTTGGGTAGAGAGCAGAGGTATTTGAATGTTTGTTGGTTTTTATCACTGTCCCCCCAATAAGGAGATTCACCCTCTCTATTTGTCCTGTTTACCATTATTATTGAAAGTTAAAAGTAAAAGAAAATCCCAAATTTTGGGTTGTCCCCAGAAAAGTAATAGATGGGAAATTTTCCAATGCAGACACTAGTTCTGGTGGCCTGGGGGTCCCTAAGGAATTCCCTTAATTTGCAGGGATTTCCTCACTTCCTGTTCAGCTATGGAACAAGAAGTGAAGGAAAATCTCTCCAATGTGGGACACAGAAGGCAAAAAAAAACAAAAATGACGGGTTATATACCTCCGTTACTTTATCCAAAATGGGGGAAAAATAATTTTGCCTATAGTTCTACTTCAAGGCTTGGCTGAATTTAGAGGTAGCGACAAGTCAACCCAGCATTGCTATTAAAATGTGTCGGAGGTAGTGGCCCAGGTGGGACTTCCTGTTCATATTGTCCAGATGAAGAAAGTTACCAGCATTCAAATTTTCTTTCTCCTTTGGATTGGGGTGACACCTTTCACAGAGCAAAATAAATGTGTTTTTGAGTGACAGATGTTGGAGTGCAGTGTGCACACACATGGGTATCTGGTTGTGAGGTCAGAGATGCTCCAGTGTGTCTGATGAAAGACAGCCTGTTGTTATAACATCACCAGATGCAGGAAAAAGTGTAAATAAAACCTATTTATAAAGAAACATCCAGTGACCGGGTCTGTCTGTCCTTCCTGCTCACAGCTGCTCGGAATCACGTGAACCGGATGTGCCTGGCGGCAGACATTCCCCTGATTGAGAGCGGCACGGCCGGGTACCTCGGACAGGTCACTGTCATCAAGAAGGTTGGTATCTCTGTCCTGGCTGAGACCACCACAGTCTCTCTGCCATAATAGCTCATGCTGGCCTTCCCTCTCCCCCCCTATGTACAGGGTGCCACCGAGTGCTATGAGTGCCGACCCAAACCCACCCAGAAGACCTTCCCCGGGTGCACCATCCGCAACACTCCCTCCGAGCCCATCCACTGCATTGTCTGGGCCAAATACCTCTTCAAGTAAGATATTTTGCCTGTTAGTATATTATCACCGAGAAAGTAATTTCCTTTGCCGCTAATTTTGTGCCTGTGTCTGCAGTCAGCTGTTCGGGGAAGAGGATGCTGACCAGGAGGTGTCACCGGACACTGCCGATCCCGAGGCCGCCTGTAAGTACTAGACAGGTTTTATCTCCCTGTAATTGATGTTGATGATGGAAAGTGTGTGTCCTCGACTTTCCCTGCAGATCTCCAATATAGGATCCACACCCCATCCCCCCCCCCCCCAAGTAATAGAATCCACAAACCCACCAACTGTTATTCGATCCCCTACCCAATATAGCATCCACACACACCAAATCCCAATAGTACCAATACATCCCACCTCCAACATAGGATCTACTCTGGCCTGTCCACCTTCTTCACAGGGGATCCCACGGAGGCTGCAGAGCGCGCTAAAGCCTCCAATGAAGATGGAGACATCAAGAGGGTGTCAACCAAGGTGTGGGCCAGGGACATCAGTTATGACCCCGTAAAGCTCTTCAATAAGGTAAATTCATTAACTTGTTTTCAAAATGTATCACTAATCAAAAATTCACAAATTGTAAATCTGAACTCCAGCTGCAGGTGTGATCTTTAAGGCTGATGTTAATCACTGTGCTGCTGGTGCTTGTGAACATTATATGCAAGAACACCTTCCCAGACATCCCTTTTAGATGTACATCCCTGCTGACCACAGTGTTGCAGACTTTAGCTGTGCAATCGGCTGATCAGTTGTTTAATTACTCTTAGATCTGGTCAGCAGATTTCATGGCTAAAGTCTGCAGCACCTAGTGACCAGCAGGGCGGAGCATGCACATTTAAGGGGTTGCCAGGGATGTGTTCCCAGCAGCCTGCACAGTGTATGAGAAGAGAAAAGCTTCCTGATCACAGCCAGCGACTCCAAACTAGTTCCAGTGTCATCAGGAATCCAAACCAGTGTCATCCACCCCTCTTATCTTCCATTCTACAGTGTGTGTCAGTTCCATCCTGTCTCTGTAGCGACCTGTAAATTAACCTCTCACTTCCCTTATCTTGCACATCTGTACATTAGCCCTTCCTTCTCACTGTGTGTGACCAATGTGCCCCCCCCCCCCTTCAAATCTCACCTTGCCTGCACTCCCCCACTGTGCTAAAATGACTGGTATCTGTAGTGAGGGGTTGATGACATCACTACTCTGGGCATGTGACAGCACTTGAGCTTAGCGATTGGCTGTTAGACATTGGGCACAGTCATAGAACCAGGTCACATGCTCCTCCATACCCAGACATTTTGGGTATTCCTGCTGGCTGTGGAGGGGGAAGGAGCTCTGGTAAGGTTACAGGGGGTTGGGGGTCCCTTTTCAGTAACACTGCCTTGCCCTGCATGGACTGTTTCAGTGTCTTTTATATAGCGTAACTAAAGTTGGAAAAACAAAAATCTTGTCATCCATTGAGTGACACAGGAATTCAGATAGTCGTGTTATACTGCTATATAAAGGAGAGTGGGACACCAGCAAACAGGAACATTGTAGGCCAGTCTTCATATGATCCCTCCTCTACCCAGCATTAAATGTTTGCTTATAACATTATTTTTGTTACAATTGGTGAATAAAGTTACCAGCATGTGTCTGTCTCTTTGCCATCAGCTATTCAAAGATGATATCCGTTACCTACTCACTATGGACAAGCTGTGGCGGAAGAGGACAGCCCCTGTGCCGTTGGACTGGGCCAGCCTACAGGATGGCGGTAATTGTCTGGTGTGAGTGGGGGAAAAAAGATGGATGACACTGATTGGTCTGAGAGATCGCTGTATGCATGTGTACACGCTTCTGATTGGTCAGAGAGTTCGCTGTGTGTGTGTGTGTGTGTGTGTGTGTGTATGTACATTGCATGCTGGCTGTACACGAGTCTGAGTGGTCTGATAGTTCTGTGTGCAAACTTCTGACTGATCTGAAAGGTTGCTGTATGTGTACGTATATTGCGTGGAGATGAACACTCTTCTGATTGGTCTAGGTTGCTGTATCTTCCAGATAAAGACTCCGAAATGAAGAACGATTCCTCTACTATTGGGTTGAAGGATCAGCAAGTCCTGGATGTCGCCGGGTATGCAGAACTCTTCTCCCACAGTGTGAAAACATTATGGGGGCAACTGAAGGAAAAGGGAGAGAACTCCTCGCTTGTGTGGGACAAGGTGAGTCATCAACGAGGGAAACAGGTACTGCCCTCTAAAAGAATTCTATTTGTTAGTTGTGGTAGGGTCTATTTATCTGAAATGCACTGTACTGAGGAACTGTCTCTTAGTGAAGCTGCAGCCATAGAGATACGTTTATTTGGTAGCTCCTCCAACACTCAGTACACCTGAGTTTATATAGTGGCTGAGACCTCCCACATATCATTCAGTCTTTAAATCTGATCTCCGGTGTTCCTTCAGTCTTGGACAGTTGTACTGGCTCCTCTCCTTCAATCTTGCACAGTTGTACTGGCTCCTCTCCTTCAGTCTTGCACAGTTGTACCGGCTCCTCTCCTTCAGTCTTGCACAGTTGTACCGGCTCCTCTCCTTCAGTCTTGCACAGTTGTACCGGCTCCTCTCCTTCAGTCTTGCACAGTTGTACCGGCTCCTCTCCTTCAGTCTTGCACAGTTGTACCGGCTCCTCTCCTTCAGTCTTGCACAGTTGTACCGGCTCCTCTCCTTCAGTCTTGCACAGTTGTACCGGCTCCTCTCCTGGACTGAAACAGCTTACTCTGATGTCACTGGAGAATGTAAACTTCTTACAACGTGCATTAGAAGCTGCAGCAAGTCAGTGCCCACCTCATTTCCTGCGTGGTGACGTCTGCATCATCTTGCACTTTTCTCCCCAGCCTGGTTGTCCCTGCCCCCACTCCATCATTGGATTTCAGTTATTCCAGTCATGGAGGCTCAGCATCACAAATTGATGTTACCTAGGGTGGTCTGCATGCAAAAAATATTAGAAGATTAAACTTTTAGCTAGAAGCGTTTGTTGTGAGCCGCAATGATCCCCTATTTTTGCAGTGCTGACAGTCTGTGGTTTCTTACAGGACGATCCCCCAGCGATGGACTTTGTTACATCAGCTGCCAATCTTCGGATGCACATCTTCAGCATGAACATGAAAAGCCGTTTCGATATAAAATGTAAGCCTCTTTTTCTACTCCCCCCATCTCCAGGATGAAGATTCAGCCTAGTGAATGCTAAAGAGTGTTTGTCTCTTCCACAGCCATGGCAGGAAACATCATCCCAGCGATCGCTACCACTAATGCCATTATATCTGGGCTGATTGTACTGGAGGGCCTAAAAATTTTATCGGGGAGTCTGGAGCAATGCAGAACGGTAAATCATCCTCCCTCCCTTGATACAATAATTGTGACCCCCATGCCTTCTAATAGCAGAAGGGTCCCAAAAAACAAAGTTTTGTCTCTTAGCCCCAAACCACCTGTCTTCGCTGAAGCAGGTCTGGATCAGGAAAACGTTTCCACAATGATGCAGTAGAAACTTTTCTGCTCCTACATAAGTTTTGCCCTCCAATATGTATGCAGTAGTACCCCATGTAGAGCTTAGTGTTGTCAGGTACTGTGTTTGCTCCTCTCCTATTACAAGCAGCGATAACTGGTCGTAACAGTAGTTCCTTATGAAACATCATTCTAATTTCCACTTGGGTTGGAGTTCCCCTTTAAATGCCAGGTTCATACTCTGATCTCTCTCTAGGTGTATCTGAGTAAACAGCCCAACCCGCGCAAGAAGCTGCTGGTTCCCTGCGTGCTGGATCGCCCCAACCCTGACTGCTACGTGTGCGCCAGCCGGCCGGAGGTGACAGTGAAGCTGAATGTTCACAAGTTGACAGTGCAATCACTACAGGACAAGGTGTGTATGATGGGGGTGATGGGCCTATGTGTGTGTATGATGGGGGTGATGGGCCTATGTGTGCGTATGATGGGGGTGATGGGCCTATGTGTGCGTGTGATGGGCCCGTGTGTGTGCGTGCGTTTGATATGGGGGATAGGCCTCTGTGGGTTTGCATACTCCCTCCAAAGAGCACCAGTGCCACCCTCTTTATGTCACTTGGGCATCTGCCCCGATCACCATTATTAGATACTAGAGGGAGCTTTGAGGCTGAACTATGGCTGTGTATCCAGTGTCTGGGACAGAGGAAGGAGTGTTTTGTACAATGATGGGTCTGTCAAAGGACATCTGTGTATAGCAGAGAAGGAGGCACACCAAGGGCCCAAATGAGAGGCTGTGCGATGATGGGTCTATCAGAGGATGGCTGTGTATAGTGAAGGAGACACACCAGGGGCCCCGAGAGGCTGTACAATGATAGTTCTGTCAGAAGACAGGTGTGTGTATAGTGGAGTAGGGGACACACCAGTGGCCCCGAGTGAGAGGCAACATGATGATAGTTCTATCAGAAGACAGCTGTGTATAGTCGCGGTGTTGTGTTCTCCATGACATTTTCCCCATTCACTCGATGTGGGAGATCTTAGGCGTTCCTCATATGGCCATATTCTGTCCTTTTCCTTTTAGAAGTCACAGAGCACAGGAGTCTGCAAGCGGTGCCCTGTGTTCTACCATCATGGCTGCCTCTGTGCAGCCCCGTCTGTCTTCCATGTTTCTCCCAGTAAAAATGATTTTGTGTTCCACTTTTCAGATAATCAAGGAGAAGTTTGGAATGGTTGCTCCTGATGTCCAGATAGAAGATGGCAAAGGCACAATCCTTATCTCCTCTGAGGCTGGGGAGACGGAAGGTGAGTGACAACATTGCTGAGCTCCTGATAACATGTTACATGTCTGTGTTGGAGGCGGGGCTAGTGTGCCAAGTTCTTACCAGAGGTAAAGTTCTATGGGAAGAAGAGCCACAGAGAACAATACAGTCAGCGGTGCGGATGAAGTGATAACTGGTACAATAGATCAGTGTTTTCTCATAGGTCTCCAGGTGATGTGTGCTCCCCATCTTAGCTGCTTTTTCTACAGTTGAACTTCTGCGCACTGTGCGCTTCATCATGCGCTGACCCCGCTCTGTCATTTTACGTGGCCTACCACTTGGTGGCTGAGTTGCTGTTGTTCCCACTTTGTTATAATCCCACTAACAGTTGCGCGTGGAATATTTAGTAGCCAGGAAATGTCACGGATGGACTTATTGCACAGGTGGCCACCTATCACGGGACCACGCTTGAATTCACTGAAAAAAAGTTTTGCCTATAGTTGTACTGTAAATATACCAATGTTTATAAAATGTGTTGAAGTATTTTTTGCATATTTATTTCTTGTTTGTATTTTTTTTTTTTTTAGCAAATAATAACAGGACGTTGTCAGAATTCGGTATTCGGAACAACACGCGGCTCCAGGCGGACGACTTTTTGCAGGATTACACCCTCCTGATCAATGTACTGCACAGGTCAGTGGGAGATGTGTCTTGTCACTGTCTTTGCCACCTATATCCTGGGAATATGATCAGTGATGTCACCAAAAAGCTGGCAGTGTCTGTCTTGTATATGGCAATTTACCATCTCCAAGTTTCCACTAACAGTGTAGAAATTTTCACAAAATGATTGCAGTTAGAGACCTAATCATTCCCCAATGTAGCTGAAACTTGCAGAGGTTTTGTGTTTAGATTACAGTATACTTTAATCCCTCGCCCTCCTGAAGATTTATCCTCCTTCCTGACAGGCCATTTTTTTGCGATACGGCGCTGCGTTACTTTAACTGACAATTGCACGGTCGTGCAACGCTGCACCCAAATGAGATTTATGTCCTTTTTTGGTGGCATTTGATCGCCTGTGCATTTTTAATTTTTTACGCTATAAAAAAAGCATGAATTTTGAGAAAAAAAAACAATATTTTTGACTTTTTGCTATTAAACATGTCCAGCAAAAAAATTTAAAAAATCAAATTTCGAAATAAAATTACACCAAAATGTATTCTGCTACATGTCTTTGATAGAAAAAAATCCCAATACGTGTAAATTGGTTTACGTGAAAGTTATAGCGTTTACAAATGGTGGTGTGTGTATATATATACTGGAATTTTTTTTTTTTTTTCACTAGTAATGGCGCTGATCAGCGACTTAAGGGACTGCGGCGGACATTCTGACACGGGAGAACTGACTTGGTGTCACTGATATCCCCAGTGACCCCAATACAGTGATCAGTGCTAAAAAAAAAAAAGCACTGACACTGTACTAATGGCACTGGGCAGGAAGAGGTTAACGGGCGATCAAAGGGTTAACTGGTGCCTGGGAGTGTTTTACTGCGGGGCCGTGTCTGTGCTTCACTGTAATCACACTGCTTTGGATGGCTGGGCTCTGCACAGTCATCGAAAGCAGTGTGCCCGAGCTGACAGGGAGGGAGGAGAACTATTAGTAAACAAAACAGTTCTCCTCCCCATTGGAGATTCTCGGAAATCACCGGGCGCTGGCGAGTAATCACTGACCGGAACCCGGTGATTGACAGCTGTGGCCGCGAATGACGGCACGGGTAGGGCACGCAGCTTGTGCACATGCCCTACCCGGAAATGCAAAATCACGTGTGTATATATAAGTGATTCTGCGCACCCGTGCCAACCTGTAGCAGTATTTCTGCTATGGGGCAGTCGGGAAGCGTTTAAAGAGGATCTGTGCTTTGGAAGTTGTACCAAATAGTGCTTTGCTCTTGGTAGAGGAGCAGAGTTTTGCACCATCATACCAAACTGTTCCCCTAATGACTATCTGAGTAGTGGGGCAATGATAGAAGTTGGAAGAAGCACAGATCCACGGAATGAATTAGCAAGGAGCTATTTGCACTGCAGGTCCTTAAGTACAGCTTCTTCTCCAGCAAGGAGTACAGGGAGAAGCACAGTAGGGACATCACCGAATCCCGAGACTGGCAGTCACAAGGCCTTTAGCTCTCACACTGCAGATATACAGCTATAAGGCTACAGAACAGGCGTGCCTAGGCACAGGAAGTGCATGGTTGTTTATCTTGAATTCCTTTGGATAAAGATACATTTTTCTGGGTACTTCTAAGGTACAGTTAACTTTTCCTCCTCCTGCACCCCCCACCCTTTTTTTCCCTTCCTTCCTGCAGTTGATTATTTTTCTTATGTATTTCCAGCGAGGATTTGGAAAAAGATGTGGAGTTTGAAGTCGTGGGAGATGCACCTGAAAAGGCTCCACAGCCACCACCAGAAGAGGCCAGTACCAGTATCACCAATGGCAGCGATGACGGAGCACAACCCTCTACATCCACAGGTCAGTACTGTACAGGAAAGACTGAGTCGGTCACATCAGTCTCTGCACCAGAGGAGCTTACACTCTAATGTTCCCCCACAGTCTCTCACTTTTTTTTTTTTTTTTAATACCTTTTATATACTCTGACATATTCTGCTGCGCTGTACAGACACAACTTAAACAATCAAATCAGTCTCTGTACCATAGGAGCTTAAGTTCTAAGACACAGTTGGGGTAGTTGTAGCAGAGCTGGGTCGCCTTAGTGATGGTGCCTGTAAAGCTTTTGCACCGTGCTGTAGTACCAGTTCTGATTCAGAAGATGTCGCTCTTTTGCTCTCTAGCGCCAGAACAAGATGATGTGTTGATTGTGGATTCAGACGAGGAGGTTCCATCATCCTCCAGCAACACTGACGTCAACATGGAGAGCGCCACTCTAAAGAGGAAGCTGTCGGATGAGGATGTCGTGAGCAGTAAAAAGAAGCGTATGGATCCAGCAGAGGAGCAGGATGATGACATCATTGCGCTGGACTGAGCGCTCCCGGCACACCGCTACAACTTTTTCATATTTTGTCATGTGACTTCTGTTAGGGTGTGTTAAACGTCTGTAGCTAGAACTCCCCGCCCCCTCGTCACACCATCCGATCCAGCGGCCCTCCTCTTGTTTTGCATTTCTCTGACATTGGGAAGCCATGATTATTTATGTGCTTGTGGTCGTTGCGTGCGGCGGGGCCCCTTCTTTGGTTACACGTTTAGCACGCCATACTGTGGTATCCGGATACGTTTTTGTATTTATGTTTGTTACGTATTTTTTATACCTAGTTTAGAAAAGGGACTTTCTAGAGCAGAATGTTTCTCACACCCTACAAAGTGCTGCGTCATGCACCCTTGGCTCCCTGCAGGGGGCAGAGCTCTCCTGCAGTGACAGGTGCTCAGTACGTTACTGTAAGCTGGACATTGTCCATGCTCGGCAGAACTGTGTGCTTTGTTTCAGGTTATTTATATTCCTTGTTTTGTAAAACTCAATACTGCTCCTTACTGTATCCTCTGAAAGGACCAAATAAAACACGTCTTGTATAACCGTAAGTGATGACTCTTCCTGGGTGAGCTGGAGGTCACTGTGAGGGAGGCCCCTTCCTGGATGGCCTGGGCTCGCTGAGAGGGGAGATCCTTTCTTGGGTGGGCTGGGCTTGCTGCGAGGGAGACCCCTTCTCGGGTGGGCTGGGTTTGCTGCGAGGGAGACCCCTTCTCGGGTGGGCTGGGTTTGCTGCGAGGGAGACCCCTTCGTGGATGGGCTGGGCTTGCTGCGAGAGAGACCCCTCTTGGGTGGGCTGGGCTTGCTGCGAGGGAGACCCTCTCTTGGGTGGGCTGGGCTTGCTGCGAGGGAGACCCCTTCTTGGGTGGGCTGGGCTTGCTGCGAGGGAGACCCCTTCCTGGTAAAACAATGTGCCTTTTTATCTTTTTTTTTTTTTTTTTTTTTTTTTTTTTTTAACAGGAGCCTACAATGTATTGCACCAGTATGTGACTCTTCCTTTGGCCTCTTGTCTTCACCTTGGGTATTCACCAAGGTACTGGCCACAGTATTTAAACTGTTGCACTCTCAAGGCATTCACATTGTTGGATGACCTCATGTTAATGGAATAGTCAGTGAGGACTCAGTGTTAGATGATGTGTCTTTGACTGTCCTGATGATACAACGGTTTGGTTGGATTTTGAACCTCCATAAAGCATTGATGAAGATATTTCTTTGCTTGGAGTATCTTGATCTTCTGCTTCTTGTAAAACATGTGACCCTCTTTTTGTGTTCCCAGATGGTCCCTGTAAGGATGCTCTGACTTCCCATTCCACCATCTCTAGGTGACTTACACCATCATTCCAAAAGAACATTTGTCAAGAAAAAAAAATTATGCAGTAATAAGTTATTACATATAACTGTTTGTGTTCAGATGACATTTACTGTACAGTGGCATTATCGCCTTTAACAAATTCCAGTGGGTGCCTGTTTTCATTTTCCTTCAACGTGGTGATGACCATTCTGCATCCTTCCCAACCACCCAATTGTAACTGTTTGCATCCTTTCAGAGACTACATTGTGAAGTGGTATCGCAATATACTCACGTGGTCTACTTCAATGGAGACGCACAACATGCACCCTCTGCCTACGTTGCAGCCTATTGGCATAAAACTAGTTTAACAGATTTCTAGGGACACTCCCTGTACAACACCCCACTGTGTGGCAATACCATGAATGCATGCTTGGAGATGTAGTTTGCAGAGTCCCTTTCAGGAGTTCTGGGACAGAAGGGGAAGTGTTGGATAACCCTGCCCTCCAGCACCTTAGGGGCTTAGTGGTGGAATCGTTGATTGCAATTTTAAAAATCGTTCAAAAAAGTTGGGTCATCATATCCATTTTTGGTGATGCTGGGCTGGTGCATATTATATGCAGTACATACTCCTCTCCCTAATGGTTCAGCCAGATCAGACAAAGTGATATTACTACACTGGCTTCCATAACACAGTTGGACGACTTGATATTCAATTTTGGTTAAAAATATCTATTTTATAAAGTACCTCTACCCTCCTTAAAATCTTTAAATGATGATTTGGAGGAGAATGAAGACTCCACTGACATCAAGTGTATAGTGTGTGAGAACCATCTTCCTTGTAGCTGTAGGACTGTGAATGTAACTTGCAGGCTGCTGAATATACAGACGTTTTTGCAGTATCTTGTATATATTCAATGGTCTTGTGAAAAGACCTTTTTTTTAAAGCAGAAAAGTGTAAAACGCAGATTAAGGTCTTTAAATATAGAGAATATTCTTAAATCTGTTGTTCTACTCAACACGGAGAGGGATGTCAGTTACATTTTAGATTGTGATGACATCCCTGACAAATGAGCTCAGTCTCATTCGGGAGAAATGGCTGAAATCTACATGACTAATGTTAATATTTATACGACTGGGTAATGCAGTGATTTCAGCTTTGTACCATTGGCCATCATTCTCATCATGCTTAGTGACACTTGCTCAACCAATTACTACTTTAAAGCGGTATTAAACCCAAAGGCAAACATTTATTATATTACAGCTTACCAATTTTTAGATGTGTTGGCGACAGTTTTCTTTATTAGGCTTTCTTTCTTCTATTTTCACCTGATGATCTGACTAGTAAGTCTGTTTTTTGAAAAGAAACTCTTTTGTAGATGTATCAGTTACAGGGATGACATCAACCATTTCACAGTGACAGGGGTGCTTACAGTGATCAGTTTTATTTATTTAGTATGTAAAACCTTTATCCAAAATAAAAATTAAAAAATTCTTATAAAGTGAAAGGCTGGCCATACACTATACAATTTTCTGTCCAATTTTCTTTAGATTTACCTTCAACAATGTAGTGCAAGAGCCTGCCTAATTCGATATAATTGAAAGCCATTTTAGATTTGACCTATTATATGGATTTTGGTAAATCTAAACCAAAAATCTCAAGAAAATTGTATAATGTATGGCCAGCCTTAGCTGGAGTTTAGCTGAAATTTGTTAGTGTGTTGAAATCTGTTAGTCCATCTAACTCTCCACTCCCCCCCCAGACTGACAATTCTGATGTCCAAAGGTGCCCCCTGTGCTCCACCATCCAGAGTGGGGGTGCTTTAACACAGGAGGTGTGTTTTTGGACAGATCACCAAGTGAAAATGGGAAAAAAAGCCTGAAAAAAAAATAATGCAGCCATCACATTTAAAGTATAGCTAAAGCCAGAACTTTTTTTTTTTTTTTGTGTAGTTTTGAACAGTGTGGGGAGGGATTAAAACATGTGTCAGCTTTTATTATGGTCTGTGACCTCATTAGGAGATTACCCTCTCTAGCTGTCCTGTTTACCAATATCATTGAAGAAAATCCCAAATTTTGGGTAGTCTGCAGAAAAGTTATAGAGGGGAAATCTTCCAATTGGGACATTAGTATTAGTTCTGGTGTCCTGGGGATGCCCAAGGAATTCTTATTTTGCAGGATTTCCTCTCACTTCCTGTTTGGCTATAGAACAGGAAATTCATGGAAATCTGCAATGGAAGACAAATGGTGAAAAAAAAAATCCCTCCCTTGCTCTATCCAAAATGGGGGGGGGGGGGTTTTGCCTAAAGTTCTACTTTAATGCTTATTAGGCTGCAATATGTTACATTTTTGGATTTGGGTTTAATACCCCTTTAATATACTAACATTGTGGATGTTGCTCACTGAGCACAAAATGAAAATCGGATGGCAGTATTTGTTTGAATATATTTGATTGTGTTACAGATACATTGCAAATAATTATTTTGTGTTAACTGGTGGCATAAGAAATAAAGGTAATGTTGGATGAAGACTGTAGTATTGTATCATGGGGTAAGTGAGAAAAAGTAATTACAGCAGCAGCATACAAGTAAATGGCCAGGTGGCACGCTCCAAATGTAAAGACCTAAGTTCCCAATAGTTCCTATGCTGTGTTGTATCCAAGTGCCAGACTCCTAGAAAATCTTTATCAATTCATAAAGCAGCACAGTGGCTAAGTGTTTAGCACTTCTGCCTGGCAGTATAGGGTCGCCGGTTCAAGTCCCAACCATGGCACCCCCTGCCTGGAGTTTGCATGTTCTCCCTGTGCCTGCACGGGTACTCCAGTTTGTTCCCACACTCCAAAGACATGCTGGTAGGTTACTTGGCTCCTGTCTAGATTGTTCCTAGTATGTGTGTATGAATGTGAGTTAGGGACCTTAGACTGTACACCCCTTGAGGGTTAGGGACCGATGTGAATGTACAATATATATGTAAAAGCGCTGCGTAAATTGATGGCGCTATATAAGTACCTGAAATAAATAATAAATAAATTCATCATCTTCAATGGTATCGCTCTTGTCTGTGTCAAGACTTTTTAAAGCTACCTTGACACATTCCGCTGCATCCCAGGCCAAGGCAAGCTTCTTCAAAAATTCACAGCCATCAAAAGAAGCATCAGCTAAAAAAAAAAAAAAAAAAAAAACAAGGAAGTATAAATGTAATGTTTTTCATCTCTGCATCTGGAAGCACAACTAAAAATGCTAAAATTTGGCCCATTTCCTATAGGTTTTTTCTTTTTTTTCTGGTGATATTAATTTATTGCCATTCCCAATAATTGGTAATAAGCAATTTCTCAGAATATGTATCTTTTTCCCTCTCTTCCATTCTAAAATGTAAGTTATTGTTAGGTAGTATAGGTTTAAGTTGGTATAAATACATTTGGAGTATCTGTTGATACCAAATATGATTTGCTGGTTAATTTTCTATAAGACTTGCATAATAATATTTGATTTTTGTACTACATTCTGTATTTTAAAATGTGTTGCATTAGTATAGGTCACTGAATTTCAATTAATCTCTGGGCAGGCTGGTTGTACTGAAGTCGATCCATCAATCAACTTCTTTACAACCACCCTGTCCACTGCCAGCAGCTATAGCTGCTAGTAGTGATCATTGTATTCTGTGGGGAAACCTCCCACTGTCAGAATGCAAAAGCAGAGTGGGAAGGATTTCC